CGGCAACATGGAATCTATTTGTTTTATATAATAAAGAAACAACAGAAACAGCTTTTTTTATTTTAAAATCTTTCAGCATGACTCGAAAGCCGGCCTTTGCCCACTTTAGCGGACGCGAAAAAAAAAGCCATTTGACGTAATCTATTGTCTATATAAAATGAAGCAATCTCATTGGTTGTTATGCGTAGCCAAGAATTGTGATTGGTTCAGGAATATCGCGCCACTGAATATTGAAGGAGTTGAGAAAAATACGCTCGAAAAACTTGCGGTTGTGGAAGCCATTCGATCCAAGTTTTGGATGAAAGGAGCCTTAGTGACGGTGGAAATTTGTGACCTCTGTGGTTGGTGATTCTCAAATCAGTTTGATAGAGTGTCGAGACACCTTATAGCTGGGATACAGTTGGCCTTGAGCTGTAGTGAGCTCTACTTTTCTCGCTGCTGTGCACTGAAACGGACTGGAATATTCTCGTCGGAAATTAAGGTTAAACTGTTTATGTTAATTAACTGATGATGTTTTGATGTTTAATTCCTGGAATGAAACTGTGTCAACAATCATCTTGAAACTCAGAAAATTTGAATTTTTTAGATAAATTAATGACAAACATTTTGCTTATTGTTTTTTTTTTTTAAATTCGAGACAAAGCAATGGTTTCTTACCTTAAAGTAATTTCAAGATAGACCGATTTTGTGTTTGGTTTAGTCTCGCTCAACTGCCAACTGAGACTGCTCGAGTATTTTTTCTGAGTCATTTTCTAGAAAAGAAACGGCTTTTTCTTTCTTCTTCCAGACTCTCGTACCTGCTCAATGCCTCGACAAGACTTTTTGTACCCTATCTTTTCACAGTCACGTAAAATAGTATCTAAATTCTTAAATCTTTCCGCCATTTCAAACACAGAGGGAAAAACCTTTGAAATGATGACGTCAATCGTGCGTCTGTCCTCTAATAGATCAAAGGCGAGAACCAATCAAAATGCGAGAATAACTTGGGTTATCATATAATTATTCATAGATTGATCGTAAAAGAGTAATAGAAATGGTGCAAAACAATAGTACAAAAAAATCTGTAAATCTCTCACGGTATGTTAAGGTCCACTCTTTGGACGTTGACTTTAATTTTGCACTGCGGTCCCGTTAAATTAGTCTTTGTTTTTTCTAAACTGTTGGACGGCCTTTGTGGAGAATGGAGGAAACATGTTACTTACCATTTCTGCATGGTGAAGATTCACATTCATTAATGTCAATAGTGCAAACGGGGCCACTGCATCCAGCATCACAAGTACATTTGTATGCGCCTGTGTAATCCGTGCAGTTTCCTGTACGCATACAAATTCACGCATAAGAGCACATACTTTCATCAAAAAATAGCAATTTTCAAAACAAGGTCCAAAACTTATCAGTTTGCCAACTCTATTACACACGCATATCATACGCGTTCGTGCCCATTATTTCTGCACATCTTTACTGTGCACGCAATTCATACCGTAGCGATGTCAAACCAGGTCATGGATCGAGCCCGCGAGCTAATTAAGAAAATAATACCGAGTAAAAGTTTGGTACCAACTACGCTCTAATAATAATAAAAATAATGAATAGTGGCTGGTCCTTTTTTTTGTTGTTGTTTTGTTTTTTGTTTTGTTTTGTTTTGTTTGGTTTAGTAATACAGTTCCTTAATTGCTGCTTTCAACTTATTAAAACCAAACGAAAGGTGACAAGGACAAGAGCAACAACAACTATGACAACAACTACGACAACAGCTGAAGATTCTGAAGGTGAGGATTCTCAGCCCAAATCGGGTTCTCAAACTTACAAGTCTTCTGTTCTAGGGGTGAAAGAATGCAATAAGCTGGAGGTTTCATTTTCAATATGCCTGCTTGTGATACCCAACACATATTCGTTACTAAAGATGTCCATGCTATGAGGCCATGAAGCAGATACTGCGCTTAATGACCAATATGCTACACAACGTTGATCCCACAATTTCTTTTTCATTCAGTTGCCGTGAGTTGGTCTTATATAATCATAGAAAAAAGGTTCTAGAAATATTCGCTATGATGACAATTTCCATCAGGCGGCTTGCTATTTACTTCTTTGCCTCTTTTAACAAAGCAAGCCCTTATATTTATAAGGAAACTGCTATTTTCCCGAGGATGACCGCCTGATAGGGTTTGGTCGTACCGTACATATGTATGGCTGGATACTCCAAAGAAGACGATATAAAAATTAAAAGGAATGTCATTTTTTTTTTTTTCCCCCTCCACTCTCTATCTTCCTTTTCTTGCTCTTTTCTCTCTCCCTCACTCTCTCTCTCTCTTTTTTTTTTTCGTTTTGTTTTCTTTTTCCATCGCTTGGAGTGATTTTAAGGCCTTTAGTAGAGGTGAAATCAAAGTGTCTTGAGATTATTTGGTTCAGAGTATTGACACGTTTTTCATTAATCCAGTCATACATCTGTCTGTATTCGCAAAAACATAGCCACAGATCAGAAATTGACTTGTCACTGATAATCTTGATACAATTCTGTCCCAGAGCTAGCTTTCCACAAGGCTTATCGTAGCTTAAATAAAAGCTATAACTCTCCTGTATGCCTTTAGAGGCCAGGGGCTCGCTTCTCGAAAGTCCCGGAATTCTTAGTCAATCGGTATTTAAAGACAGAGGGGTGTATACACCTGAAACGTCTTGTATGAAGAGAACCTCTGTTCGTATTAAGAATATATGAAGAAAACAGCTCTGTAGTCAAAAGGTTTGAGATTTTTCTGCGGCCTTTCGGGTGCGAAAACTTTTCGAGACCTTCGAGAAACGGGCCCCAGGAAGAATAAATTCACGGTCTTTCATTGAATCGTGAATTGTACAATTTAATTAAGAGTGCTTTCAACATGAAATTCGAGTCTAAATCAACGCAAGCGTACACATATCAAACCGCGTTGGAGAGCTGATCTACAGCTTTCTAAAGGCCTGCATCGTCCTAAATGGACCGAACAAGAGCTTCCTACATCGAATAAAAATAAAAAATAAAAAGACAGACAGTTCTGATAGTTAGCTAGGCCGATCAGGTCAGCGCTACACGTGATTTCCTTCGCTCTATTCGTGGCCATGCTTTGCTCGCAAATAGCAATGTCCCGGATGTACTCGAATTTCATAGAGCGGGAAAGTCTATAGCCGCATCA